CTTGGGTTTTGAATATCTCCAAGAATGGAGACTCCACAATCTTTCTGGACAACCTATACCAGAGCAAAGCGTTCTTTTTTCTTATGTTTATATTTCTTATATTTCAGTCTGTGCCCATTGCCTCTCCTACTGTCACTGCATGCCACTGAGAAGAGCCTGGCTCCATCTTCTTTACTGCTTCCCATCAAGTATTTATACACACTGATAAGAATCCCCTGAGCCTCCTCCAGGACAATCAGTCCCAGCTCTCAGCTCCAGATGCTCTAGTTCCTTAACCGCCTTCACGGCCTTTCATTGGACTAACTCCAATATGCCCATTGGAATTGGATGTAAAACTCCAGATGTGTCTCACCACAACTTACCCCCTTCCTTGACCTGCTGGTAACAATCTTCCTTATACAGTCAAGGATGCTGTTGGTCACCTTTGCTGTAAGGGCACACTGCTGACTCATATTCAACTTGGTGTCCACCAGGGTCTCCAGGTCCTTTTTTGGCCAAGCTCCTTCCCATCTGTGTGGCCCCCAGCATGTACTGTTTCAGGGAGTTGTTCCTTCCCAGGTACAGGAAGTACCCCTTGCATGTCCCCTTGTTCAATTGCATGAGGTTCCTCTTAGCCCTTTTCCCTCTGGATGGCAACACAACCCTCTGGCATATCAACCACTCCTCCCAGTATTGTGTCATCGTCAGACTTGCTGAGTGTGCACTCTCTTGCCATATAAGTCACTAATGAAGAAGTTAAGTGGTGTTGGCCAAGGATCAATCACTGGGGTACACCACTAGTGGCTGGCTTCTGAACTTTGTGTTGCTGATCTCAAATCCTTCAGCTTGGCAGTTCAGCTGGTTTTCACTCCATCTCGCTTGTCTGTTTATCTAGGCCATACTTCATCAGTTAGCCTATGGGGATGTTATAGAGACAGTTCAAAAGCCTTAACAAAATAAAGTGTTAACTGTGTTGAGCCTGTTGATGCTTGGGAAAAGTTTGAGAGTTTGCCTTACCATGCTGTCCCTCTTGGCACTTAAATATTGTGCTTGAGGTGAACCCCTACCAGCTCCGTTATACTGAATACAAGGTGCATCATTTTGCATCCTCTTTACCAACCTGTTCCACCACTTCCTTGCTTGATTGTGGGCTGTTATCTCCCTTCCTTTGTGCTAGTGTAAAGCTGTCCTCAATAATTTGGCCAGCTGTGTGGCAAAGCTACTTTCACTTTTAAAATATTTATAGCTGTGAATCAGTTGATGTTTTATAGTCAAGTTCAATAGTTTCTCCACAGTCCATTACAGACCCTGCTGAAATTTGTTTCAGATAAAGTCCTTGGAAGCAGTGCAGATACAGGTGTGTATCTCCATTGGTTTAGTTATATTCTCATTGTTGTTTTTGAACTGTCCCTCCTCCCTTGGTCATCCACCATATACTTAGCTCATTTTTTTCCTATGAGAGATCAAGCAGAGGTGTTTGGAGCAGGATCCAAAATTTTCCAAAATGAGTTGTATGGCAGGTGTCTGGTAAGACATAAAACTTCACTTATAGAAAAAAAAAGATATTCTAGTCCTGTGGATGCTAAACTGCTATCACTGCTGGATAACTCCCAGAAAAAAGCATTCTTTAGTATCAGCATAAAATCTTATGCCAGTCCTCTGTGTCACTGAAATTGGAACCCCACAAATACAGGTTTAGCAGCACTATTTAAAATAGAGTTGTGCTGCTTGAAAGTGGCTGGGGGTTCTAACATCGCCACCCAATCCTTGCTTGTTTCAGGTGCCTGAGCTATGGAAAAAATTGATTTTGTGCTTAAAACATATTGAAACATGATCAAGCAGGCCTGAGCTAGAAATACAGGCTTGAGGGTGCTAATAAAACACAGCTGCACGTGCTTTGCTGCTGCAGCGTGGTAGAGGTCAAAGGAAGCACGGGGACGAGTTCCAACAGGTGTGCAAAAAGGAGTCAGGTGTTTTTGTTTTCTTTTTTCACTTTTTCACCCCAAGATGTGCCATGCCTTGTCCGATTCCGGCCTTTCCCCCGACGGCTGAAGGCGAGGTTCCTCCAGAGCCTCAAATCAGCGGCGTTCTCCATGTGGAGGGGGCCGCAGGCTGCCGCCCCCCCAGACCCGCACCCGCCGCCGGCTGGACGCGGGGCCCGCACGGGGCGCGGGAGACAATAAGTGGGCCCGCCCCGCCCCGCCCCGCTCCGTTCCTGCATCACGTCAGCAACGGGGGGGGGCGCGGCGCCCGATTTAAGGGGCTGCGAGGGGCGCGGCCACCGCAGCAGCGAGTGCGGGAGCGGGCGGCGAAGGAGGCGACAGGAGCAGCAGCTTCGGAGACAGGCACCATGCGTGAGATCGTGCATATTCAGGCCGGGCAGTGCGGCAACCAGATCGGCGCCAAGGTACGGACCGGTGAGGGGAGCGGGGCGCTCCCCCCGCGTAGCACCCCGCGGGTAGCGCGCAGCTCCGTCCCGAAACGAAAAGCGCCCCGGGGCAACTTGCTAAGGCGTCGCGGTTCCTGCCCCTGCGCCTGCTGTCCATGGCGGTGTGAGCTGCCGCGGGGCTGGGCGCTGGCTGGGATGTGCCCGCGCCGCGGTCCGGCACTGCCCTGCCTTCCCGCAGGCAGCCGCGGAAACCCCCTCGCTGCCTCGCCCCTCTGCAGCCACGGCACCGGCTCCCGAGGGAGGGAACGGGAGATGTGTCAGTGCCACGGGTTACCCGCCTCCACCGAGGGTGTGCAGGTGTTGCCATCTTGTAGTGGCTACAGGGTCTTAAGCCAAGGCTAGACAATGGGAGGAGGACAAATTCAGATAGCCAGGGAGGGTCACCCTCTGGATATGAGCTACAAACGAATTAACTTGTTACTTCAATGCCCTGCCTTCTTGTCTGCCCTCTGTTAATTCAGCTGCTGTGGCCAGTGAAGCCCTTGAGCACTGACTCACCTTCCTGCCCAGCAGCTGCTCTGCCATGCAAGGGAGTGGTCAGGGCCACGGCATGCACAGACCGCACTGGTGTGTGTGATTGGCACTGGCCAGCTGTTTCCACTGGCACTGGAAATAGCTAATTGCCATTTTTCAAAAATTTCTTCTAGTTCTGGGAGGTCATCAGTGATGAGCATGGCATTGATCCCACGGGCAGCTATCACGGGGACAGTGAACTGCAGCTGGAGAGGATCAATGTCTACTACAATGAAGCTGCTGGTAAGTTTGTCTGATTCTTCAAATGTCCTTAACTAAATGGGGTAGGCATGTCAGTTCACTGAGGCTGGAAAAATCCCTGGACAAGAGCTGTCATCTGCCAGTGACTCCTCTAAGAGACCTTTGTTCTCAGAAAGGCACTGATAATACAGTAGTCTTGATTGAGACTGTGTCTCTCCATTGAAATGTGGAGAGGTAGATCGGAGAACAGCAGGGGTCCTGTGACACTGGCTACCAACTGTGGGGCTATAATGCTGGCTTCTCTCACAGGTAACAAGTATGTCCCACGTGCCATCCTCGTGGACCTGGAACCTGGCACCATGGACTCTGTGCGCTCTGGCCCCTTTGGACAGATCTTCCGTCCTGACAACTTTGTCTTTGGTGAGCGTGAGATGGAAGAGTCCCAGAGTGGGAACTCAACACACAGAAAAGACTTGGAGCAAGCATGCAAATGACCCTGGGAGACCTGAAACCCAGTGGCAGAGGGGGGATGGAAGCGAAGGGTGGAGCCCACGGGGAAGGGGAAAGTGGCATCATCTCTGTTTGTCCCTGGGGCGCTAATGTGGCACCTTGCTTGTGGTCTGCCCTCCAGGTCAGAGCGGGGCTGGCAACAACTGGGCCAAGGGGCACTACACGGAAGGCGCCGAGCTGGTGGACTCTGTCCTGGATGTGGTGAGGAAGGAGTCAGAGAGCTGTGACTGCCTCCAGGGCTTCCAGTTGACCCACTCGTTGGGTGGAGGCACAGGCTCTGGGATGGGCACCCTCCTCATCAGCAAGATCCGGGAGGAGTACCCCGACCGCATCATGAACACCTTCAGCGTGATGCCCTCGCCCAAGGTGTCGGACACGGTGGTGGAGCCCTACAATGCCACCCTCTCTGTGCACCAGCTGGTGGAGAACACGGACGAGACCTACTGCATTGACAACGAGGCCCTGTATGACATTTGCTTCCGCACCCTGAAGCTGACCACTCCCACGTACGGGGACCTCAACCACCTGGTGTCGGCCACCATGAGCGGCGTGACCACCTGCCTTCGCTTCCCCGGCCAGCTGAACGCCGACCTGCGCAAGCTGGCGGTCAACATGGTGCCTTTCCCCCGGCTGCACTTCTTCATGCCGGGCTTCGCCCCTCTCACCAGCCGCGGCAGCCAGCAGTACCGCGCCCTGACGGTGCCTGAGCTGACGCAGCAGATGTTCGACTCCAAGAATATGATGGCCGCCTGCGACCCCCGCCACGGGCGCTACCTGACGGTGGCCGCCATCTTCCGGGGCCGCATGTCCATGAAGGAGGTGGACGAGCAGATGCTCAACGTGCAGAACAAGAACAGCAGCTACTTTGTGGAGTGGATCCCCAACAACGTGAAGACAGCTGTCTGTGACATCCCCCCGCGCGGCCTCAAGATGTCCGCCACCTTCATCGGCAACAGCACGGCCATCCAGGAGCTCTTCAAGAGGATCTCGGAGCAGTTCACGGCCATGTTCCGGCGCAAGGCTTTCTTGCACTGGTACACCGGCGAGGGCATGGATGAGATGGAGTTCACGGAGGCAGAGAGCAACATGAACGACCTGGTCTCCGAATACCAGCAATACCAGGACGCCACTGCTGATGAGCAGGGGGAGTTTGAAGAGGAAGGGGAGGAGGATGAGGCTTAAGCCCCCTGGTATCATAAGAACTTCTGTAAAGCAGGCATGCATACTGAATGACTTCTGATGGTGGTGGTGAAGCATGTTTTCTAGAAACTGTGTACTAATTATCTTCTCAGCACTTGTAACTTTGGTAGATTTCTCAATGTAACAGTTCTGAATCCTAATTTTCACAATGTTTTTTGTCCTTTAATGTTAAGAGCACATAAAGGCATGTATTCTAGATCATGTTTTCTGTCTTTCTTAATGCCTCTATTGGATGAAGAACAGCTGCCTATCCTGTGTGGCAAGAAGTAAGTTTAAAGACATGTCAGAAATCTTGCAGCACAGTGGTGTGCTCTGATCCACTGAGGCTTACATATTCTCAAAACATATGCTTCTCATGCATATGTGTTTAATGTTTTTTCTTACAGGACTCAGACCTACCTATAAATTGAATGAAAATGGAAAGCCACCCTAAACTCTTAAACAAGTCAAAGGACAAGCATCTCTAACTTGTTTTATAGTTCAAGTCAGCATAGGAAGTCTTCCACTTGTCTGTTGAAGTCCTCTGCAAAACGCAGGTGTAAATTATGCTTTCCTTCTGGCATCAGAAGCAACCTTAAGAGAAAAAAATCAAACATAGATTATACATTTTATTCCATGAGTATAGGTGATTAAAATACTTGTTGCCTTTTCCTTGCTCTTGATTACCCAATAAGGAATTGAAGTAACACTTAAATACTGTTCCTAGGTATGTGGTTCAGAATGTGAACCACACCAACAGCTGAAGCAACAAGCACACCAATTGCCCCACTTTGAGAAGGATAAAATAAGCTTGAAACAAATTTTGCCTAGTTTCTAGAAGCCTTTTCTGTGATCTACAAAGAAGATAAGATTCCAAAACTTATGTGAACAGCTTGCATCTTTGAAAGGTACGTGAAGTACCTGAGCACTTTGTCTCTCACAGAACAGTAGTTGTGCTGGGCAGTGAACACATTGAAGAGATCACTACAAAAATGTAGAATTCTCCACAGCTCAAACTTACTTGGTGTTTGTACTTTGTCTAATCTTTCTGCAAAAAGACAATCCCAACCTAACACCATTCATTCATTAAAGTAAAAAGGGAAGTCAGAACTTCTTTGGTTATAACAAAAGCTTAAAGTGGTAGCTTCTTAGAAGGTTAGATCTTTGTAATATGGATATGTGTGACATGCCTAAAATGCTACTTACTATTGCTTACCATTGCTTTCTGTCTGAGACTAACTTTATACATCAGGTATGTCCAATTCTTTACACAGGGGTGGGAAATTCTTTAAGTTGTTTTTGTTCTAACATATGCTAAGCGGTTTCAACAGAGCTAAAGCCATTTTGACTGGTATGTCATTGCCTTTGTGTCCTACTACAGCAAGGGGGATTAATCTTTTAGTGGTGACAAGTGCTGTTTTGTTTTGGGAAAAGAGCCAATAGGATGTGAACGTACCCAGCTTTTCTACCAAACTTTATCTGAATTTCATTAAGTCTCTTTCTTCAAAGACTAAGCAGCACAGATGCAGAAACCTATAGCGCTGTGTATGCTATTTTCTACTGCTGTTAATGTTTCCTACTACTGTAATGCTACCTAACTCCAGCCTTACCATGCAAAGGCAGAGTGATGGCACACTCTTCTACCATAAGAGAAACAAGAAATATATCTGCATTACAGATCAGAAAAAGCTTTTTCTACTTTACTACTAGATAAAAGTCAAGGCAAGAAAAGCTGATGATAGAAACTTGCATTACTGAGAATGTGCTAAATGTAAGGTTTTCCTCCTGCTTCCCAATAGAACATGTCATTTCCAGAGCAAACAGGGAAGAAGGGGACTATGTACCCAAGTATTCATTTCTGAGAACATCATTAATCTGGTTTCTTTTCTGACAAATATGCATACAGGGGAGAACTTCAGCACAAAGACATGAAAGAATCACTGTTTTACATTTTACTGGATGGCAATTTCTAACAGCGTTTCCTTTTTGGCTTGTTTTCCAAAAAGAAGCTATCAGATCCTTGTCTAGTTTTTGTCATGACCTGGCTTAGTCAGCATTTGGAGCATTTTAGAGCTCAGTGAAACCAAAAAGGATGATATGTGTTCTGACCAGGCCACGTAGGAGTAACTAACTGGCAGACATGGAATAAAACACCTGTATGTGATTGTTAGGAAGGTCTCTTGTTCTCATCTTCCCTGTGGCATAATGCATTCCCACAGTCAGCAGGGCTGACTTTGAGATAATTATATCACTCATTTTTGCACAGACATGACACCAATAAAACAGTTTCCTATATTATGCATTCATAAAAATGTGCTTGGTGGTTTTTTTTCCCCCTGCTACTTCTGTTCTCTACTGCTAATCATCACAGTCTGTTATTAAGTAGTAATAGAACTCTTGCATTTGTGTGCAAATTTATGAAGAAAATTCAGCTGGTAGAATCCTAGCTTTTAATAGGAAGCATTTCTGGAATTTTCAAATCGTGTTGGTTTTGGCTGGGATAGAGTTAATTTTCTTCACATTAGCTGTTATGGGGATATGTTTTAGATTTGTTCTGAAAACAGTGTTGATAATATAGAGACATTTGTGTTATTGCAGAATAGTGCTTATACAGTGTCAAGGCCTTTCCTGCTTCTCATACTCCCCACCATCAAGGAGGCTGGGGATGCACAAGGAGCTGGGAGGGGACACAGCTGGGACAGCTGACCCCAACTGACCAAAGGAATATTCCATACCCTATGGCATCATGCTCAGCATATAGAGCTGGGAGAAGAAGGAAGGGGGATGTTTGGAGTTGACGATGTTTGTCTTCCCAAGTAACTGTTATGTGTGATGGAGCTCAGCTTTCCTGGAGATAGCTGAACACTTGCCTTCCTATGGGAAGCTGTGAGTTAAGTCCTTGTTTTGCTTTGCTTGCATGTGTGGCTTTTGCTTTACCTATTAAACTGTCTTTATCTCAACACATGAGTTTTTTCCCTTTTACTCATCTGATTCTCTCCCTGATCCCACTGGTGAGGGGTTGATTGGTACTTAGTTGCTGTCTGGGATAAAACCACAGCACACATGAAGCACATCATGTCCTCGGACTTTTCTTGTTGATAAAGTAGTATCTTGGAGAACAGTTGCACCTTTTTTTTTCCTCATTCTGTTTTTCTTAAGAACACTGAAAATTCATGGGGCAGTTGGAAACATAAAATCTTGGAGGTTGTGGTTCACATCAGCAAGGCAGACCAAACAGAAGTGTCCTGTGCTTTTCTCTCTAATGACTGGTAATCTCTCCCCATTCATATCATCTAAGTTCCCTGTTCTACTGAATGGGACAGAAATGAGGTCTCTTACACCAAAAAGAATGCAATGGTCACAACAACTAAAGCAGAAATTTGCTTGTTTTGATAAATATTGAGGAGTGCTGGTTCTGTGTGACTAGTCAAAAGAGGAAAAGGAACTTGGTTTCTCTCAGAGGGCTTTAGGAAGGAGCTTATTAAAATACTGTACTTTTTATATTGCAAGAAAGGTTCAGCTACACTGTTTGCATTGTAACTTGCTAGGGATGTTTAGAATAGCTCTGTGGCAGAGACAACTTGTCCAAATACTTTTTTATAAAAACACTGTGGGTTTGAACTGCTTCATCTCTTCAACAATGGTTTATAAAAACTCCGTCATATAACTTACCGAGAGCCTTTGATGTGCTTATGAATGTATTCTGCGTGAGCCTGTGGGACCAAAGGGTCTTTCTCACCATGAATTATAAATGTGGGGCATTTAATATCTGGCAGCAACTGTTGGCAGATATTACCTAGGGAGAAAATAAATGAAGGTCACACTTTATTTTAAAATTGTATGAAAGACTGAAACTGCTTTTGTAGAGGAGTCTGAACTCCACTGGGTTCTAGCTATTGCCTCTCCTTGTTGATACTGTGCGATTAATCTACAGATCTAGGTAAGTAGGACTAGGTAAGTTAACACTTCTTTCTCCAAAATGTTACTTCACTGCAATTCATTAATGGATACTAGCACAAAAGGATAGAGAGAATGAAGTACCTCTGTTCTACATTTCCCCCAGGCTCTCTGACTCTTCAAAGCCAATACATGCATCTCCTTCCTGGCTTTGTTCTTTTCAGCCTTAAGTGTCTTACAGCCCTCATGTTAATGCTGCATTTTGGTACACCGTTTGTCAGGTTACAAGATTTGCTACTTCTATAAACAAGTTAACTTGGGTGGTACTCAGGCCTGTTGCACCTCCCAGACCCTTTGTTGTCTGCGATGACGTAGTGGGCTGACCCTGGCTGGGTGCCAGGCATCCACCAAAGCCACTTTCACTTTCTCCCACAAGTGGACAGGGCAGAGAAAATATAATGAAAGGTTCATGAGTTGAGATAAGGACTGGGAGGGATGACTCACTGAATACCGTCACAGGCAAAATAGACTGAACTTTGAGATATTAATGGAATTTACTACTAATGAAATCAGAACAGGATAATGAGAAGTAAAACAAATCTTAGAAATTCCTTCCCAGCTCTACCTCCTCCCCCACAGAGTGCAGTGAGATAGAGAATGGGGGTTAGGGTCAATTGTTGCTGCCACTGCTCCAGGAGAAGAGTCCTCCCACTTCAGCGTGGAGTCCCTCCCATGGGAGACAGGCCTCCACGAACTTCTCCAGTGTGAGTCCATCCCACGGGCAACAGTTTTCCATGAACTGCACCAACGTGGGTCACCTTTCCACAGTCCTTCAGGTACAGCCTGTTCCATTGTGGGTCCCCAACAGGGTGACAAATCCTACCAGGAGACCTCCTCTAGGGTGGGCTCCTCTCTCTATAGGTCTGAAGGTCCCTGCTCCAGCATGGGCTTTCCATGCGTTCACAACCTCCTTTCAGGCATCTACTTGCTCTGGCATGGGTCTCCTTCACGGGCTGCAGGTGAATCTCTGCACTCCCGTTGACTTTCATGGGCTGCAGGGGCACAACCTGCCTCACTATAGTCTTCACCATGGACTGCAGGGGAATCTCTGCTCTGAAGCCTGGAGCACTTCCTCCCCCTCCTTTTCCACTGACCTTGCTGTCTGCATAGTTGCTCCTATCACATAATCTCACTCTGCTCTTCTCTGGCTGCAAGAACTTTTTTTTCCTTCTAAAATATCACAGAGGCATTACCACCATTTCTGATTGACTCAGCCTTGGCTAGTGGCATGTGTCCATCTTGGAGCTGTCTGGCATTGGCTCTGCTGGACATGGGGGAAGCTTCTAGCAGTTTTTCACAGAAGCCACTCCTGTAGCCACCACCCCGCTACCAAAACCTGGACACGCAAACCCAATACAAAAGCATAACCATTTAATACAAATTGTACTAAAACTATTCAAAGGTTATTTTCCCTGCCCATTCAGAACCTCAAGAATAATTTTATGCTTACTAGTTGTTAATCTCATTAGAAGCAATTTTAATGCTTTTGCTTAAAGAGTCTTCTGAATTTTTCCCCCTTTCTTTTTTCCTCATCCCTTAGTAACCCAGTATCCAAACTCATTGCCTAACTTCTCACAAGGGAATCTTGGGCAAAACATCCTCGATGAGTTTCATGTTCTATTTCTCGTCAAGCTAACTTTGTCCTGTGTGTAGTTGTCACCTTGCAGCTACCAATAGCTGTAAGGTTAATGCTCATACACACACACTTTCCCTAGCTCTACAGTCAGAGGAAATTTCACAGAGTTTTTCCAGTTGCTTCCTTATTTATAGAGTCTTAGTTTGCAGTTCTACTGGTTAAATGTTTTCATTTAGAACATTTAACCCACAGTCCTCCAAAACCTGCAGAAATGTTGACTGTTTTTCAGAATAAGTAAATTTAAGCCATCTAAGGTCATAGTTGGCAGTTATTTCCTAGTAAAGCATGTAACAGCAGCAAGAATCTTGGATTTTGCAACTTCATGCAACTTACTCAGTTTCATTAAGTGTTGGCTCCTTCTAAAAGTTTATTTCTTATGACATTTCACACTAAAAACTGTCCCATTTAGGGCAAATAGTCTACATCTTAAAAAAGAGCCTGAGTTGAGTTTTTAACCAGCGTAAGCTTTGCTGTCCTCCTTTTCTCTTTGATGGGTTTTATTAACCCCTTTTCTTATATCTGCTGTATCTGCACCTTTGTTTCAGTGTCTTAACTTTAATTTCAAAATAGCCTTGGCTGAAAACCTCTATGTAGAGTAATTGCAGGAATCTTCAGAGATAAACAATTATATCGTCTAGTTCAACTTTTTTTTTTAAATTTTTTAAACACCTAAGATATGGTAATAGTGTTTTTTAAATGTGCTTTTTAAATTCTGAGTTCTCAAAATCTGACATTCCTTCTTTTCTTCTTTTTTAACTCGTATGCTTCTAGGTCTGAAAGAGTTCTTCAGCTCCAGTTTGCAAAAACAGGAAAGAACACACTTTTGGGATATCTTAACAGTGTCACCAAGAGATAATCCTTTGACACAGAGACAGGAAAGGAGAAGAAGATTCTGCTTAAGAGGAATCTCTCCTGTTCAGTCTGCACAAAAGCAATGACTTGATAATGCAGTTTTGTGGTGGAACAAGAGGAGGGACTCATCAGCTAATGTTTTCCATAAATGTGTTTTCCTCCTGTACCTTGCTGGTTCTGTGAACCATCTACAAAGTAACTGTTTTATTCCTGAGTGTGAGTCAGACCCAGCTTTTAATGCCATATGCAGAGTCCTTCCTTTACTGGTTACTGTGAGTACTATTAGATTTTTATCCAGAACTGCTACTATAATTGCTTCAGTTTAATATTGTAAAAGCCTTACCATCTGAATTTTCAGCAAAGCGAGATATTCCATCTACCCAAGCCTCACAGGTTTTTGCAAAGTAATTATGCCCATACATCTCTTCCAGTGGTTTCCTGACCTTTTCACTCCATTTTGAAACATCTCGGATGCCTACATAAAATAACATTGAAATATGTTAAGTCCTTTCCAGCAACAAGATACAACGCAGTACTGACAACACCTAATATGAGGAAGTTTTCAAACCAGACTGCAAATATGTCTTTCAAACTTGAAACTGTAATTAATGGTTTTAAATAATTCATAGTATCAAAATGGTATAAAAGAGATAGTTGTGCAATCTCTGCTGGGGTCTTCTGAGTTGTAAAGGACCATCTTGTTATTATGGCCACAAGGAACAACTGAAAAAAATTATAATCAAAGAACTCATTCCTAAAACTTCCAATGGTCCTTTCTGGAGGGCTTTCTGAACAGAAGCTCAAGGAGGTACCTTGTGTATAAAAATGGGAATATTTTATCAACATGCCAGAGCTGGCAATTCTTTTTTATATCCTTTATCCTTTTGCACTGGCTCATGGATGGAAGTTTCTCCATGGCTCCTACCACTTCTCAGAGGAAGGAAGCTCTTATTAAGGCATTCCAGCAGGCTGACATCATGGTACATTTGCCATAGTCTTACAGAAAAACAAGTGATTCTACTTAGTAGAGTTCTATGACTCATGGCAGGCTGGCTAAAGCTGTACAAATAATCTGAAATCTAATCATTTATTTATCAGATTTACCTAACCTTTTTTTCCCCCCTAAAATTTTCAGTACTGCTCACAAACCAAGTCCAAATAGGTGACTTTCACTAAACTGTATTTCAGGTGTACAGCTTTGTACCGATAAAGCCTGAAACAAAGTTGGCATGGCAGACAGTCTGAAATTACTGAATCACCAAACACTAGCAAAGCTTTTTATTGGTTTCAAATGGGAATTTGGGAAAGAAAGGAGTGAGGTGTTAATTAACAAACAGAACCTGTCTGGCCAAATGACAAAGGTAGCAGTGACTGAAAGTGTTTTATAAGAGCATCTGACTGGAAATGAGTTTGCTCACTCCAGGCTAGGTGTTACTGAACAGCTGTTTTCCATATACAATCTACTGTTTTCTCCTTGTGGCTGGCCTCAATTTAAAAAGAGAAGGGAGAAGCCAATGTTGAAAGGACATAGATACCAAATAAACATCTTTCTCTCCTATGAAACTCTCCACTGCAGCTGAGATGCACTGATGAGTCAGTCGTAGAAGACTTGTGCTGCTATTCTCTGAGCTCCATCACCCAGAGATCTTGAAAGCACCAGTCCACAAAGAGTCCAAAGGTCAGCATTGCAGTGGGTGCTCCATGTAAAGTAGGACTTAATTTATTTGTTTATTTATTTATTTATTCATTTTAGCCTGCTGGTTGATACTAACTGATATGCATTTCATATTTACATAATAAAAACTTCATAAATATAAAATCATGTAAAGAAATAAAGCAGCACTTTTACAGAGCCAAAAAGCATTTTGCTTTCTGAACTAAAAAATATACTACTGCTACTACCACTGGAAGTGTTTTAATATAGGTGAGGTAAATACATATGTGCAATACATATACTTGTATATTAGCTGAAGCTAGTCAGATTTCACAGCTGGTATAAATCAAACTCCAGTCACTACAATGAAATTATACTGGGCTACATTTGTTGAGAGCCTACAAGGCTAACTCTTAATTTCTATGTTCCAAAGGAAATACGTTCCCTTTCTGAACTCACTACCAGTTTTTTTGCTATTTTCCTTTATAGTAAGAAGTGATCAGATTCTGTTTCATGTGAGTGGAATAAGGATCATAAATCCCATGTTTCTTTACTTTGCAAAGACTTTGTAATGACAATAATTAACTTTAAAGGAATTCAAATTATAAAGGCATCTTGGGACACTTACTTGAATGATTCATTTGCTTCCCGGACTTAATAGGTAAGTTATGAACTTGTTTTCTTACTGTCTATATATTATTATATAGGCCCTAGAGGCAAAAGCTGGTATGTGCTAGCCCAGTGATTATCTGTGGATCTTGTTTAAAGGTTGTGCAAGATGTGAGAAAAGAAATTAAACCTGTGGTCAATAGTATTATTTGGGATTTATTTTTAGGAATTTGTTATAGCAACAAAAATTTGACTTTCTGAAAACTACTATTATAACTTACACTTTTCAGCTGTGTAAGTGGCTAAGGATTTGTTAAAAAATCTCTTATATTACCCCTAAAGTAATTGTTAGAGAGTTTCTCACTATAACTTTAATCTATCCCCATACTTAGCAATGTAGCGAATTTTGTGTCCTATCTCTTTAGGTTTGTGGTGTCCTCAACTCTGTCTCCACTTAGCTATTACATGACTAAGATTCTTGGGTCAAGAAAAAATTAAAATAATTCATTTAGGATACGATATTCAGTTTGTACATACCATTATAAATTCTCACATCCTCTTGAGTAACGCTGGCATTTGCTCCCCAGACAACCAACTTGTGGATAAGATTTGGATAGTTTGCAGCTGCAATGAGTGCTGTGATTCCACCATCACTCCACCCCAGCAAAGAGAACTTCTTAAATTTTAGTGCCTTGATTTACACAAGAAAGTTATATGCTAATCATCAGCTGGTTTTACAAGCAAACATCAAATATTTCTTGAAAATTAACTGTACAGTTTTAGATACAACACTACATAGTCGACCTATAGTCAGCTTTCATATTTAGAAAGCATAATTTTCCTGCTATACAAAAAAATACTAGAGAAGGTCAACTATTTAGAAAACAATAAATTACACCCACCATTTCAATTTTCTATAAACTCTTTTATGAAACAGGCAGTAGTCCTAATTAGAATCTTGCTGTATTTAAAAAAGGACTCAAAAAAAAGAGAAAAGAAATGTTTATTTACAATGGAGAATAAAGACTTTTCAGAGAGCCTGATGGTATGAAGAATCTGTGGATTCTCTTGGTATGAAGTCGGCAAAGACTATCACAGTGTGGATGGTAGGTAATCCAGATCAAGCTAAACTTAAGAAAAAGAAAAGCGTAAGACTTAAAAAATGGAACCCAGTGATCTAATTTACTGATGCTAGCTGAGCTAAAAAAAAAATCTGCTCTGTAACAACCAAAAAATGCTTAAAGTATTTCCTAAAGGATTGCATCAAGTTCTAGTGGCTAAGTCACATTTTCTGAAGCTTTTAAGAGTATATTTTAAATGTTACTTCATGCTGAATTGCAATTCAAAACATTAATAATGAAATTCCTCCTCCTCAAAAAGGAAGGCTCAGGGCAAAAAATACAAAAACCCAGACCTTAATTTATTCTGACCAGTGCCAGGACTTGAGGAAATGGCATGAAGCTGAGTTGGGGGAGGTTTAGCTTGGATATCAGGAAAAATTTTTTCACCCAGAGGGTGATTGGACCCTGGAACAGGCTCCCCAGGGAAATGGCCACAGCACCAAGCCTGACAGAGTTCAAGAAGCATTTGGACAGTGCTCTCAGGCACATGGTGTGATTCTTGGGAATCTGTGCAGGGCCAGGAATTAGAGTCAATGATCCTGATGGGTCCTTTCCAACTCAGCATATACTATGATTCTGTGATAATGCTTTCCACTAGAATTTGAAACCCTTGTTTCTTCATAAAGTAGAACATGTGGCAGAGGGTACTGGAGCAAGAGGTGAGAGGATTTTGCGTGTGTTATGTTCAGTGGGCAAAGAGTGGGGAAGGTAAAGGTACTTAGGAGCAAATGCATCTGAAGGTTGTACAGGGACAATGTTCAGTGGTTAAGTGATATTTGCAGTTTTGCATATAGAAACTTCAGTTTGTGAACTCATTCACAAGCAAATATAAAGGCTGTTTTGCAGCCTTGTAGATGTGATTAAGGAAGATAGTGTACTTTGGTAGGAAAAGGAGCAAGTTAGCTGAATGAGTTTCTCTGGTGCTCGGTGTTCTTGGAAGCCCAGTACATTGTTGGGATAGAAGAAAGCAAAAATGCAGGCAATGAGAGAAACAATTACAGAGCGAGAAAAAGAAGCTTCTAGTCTGCTTATAAACTTGATGCTCAAGTGAAGCATAACTATCAGTCAGCTTGATATTTAGCAAATTTCTATCCCTATAAGGCTTTTCTGGTTTTGGCTTCCTCCTTGCTATACTGCTCACTGTAGTGTTGAACAATTTTAGATTTCACTCTGCTGAGTTATAATTACTAAACAGAAAAGAAATAAGATAGGAGAAAGAAAGGGACATGTAAAGTAAGAGCTGACAGCAAGAAAAGAGAATCTTGAATTTTAGGAGCTGACGAGTTGGGCCTGGTCTGCTAAAAGTAGTTATCTGTGACCAACTTCCATTATTGTGCTGCTGAAGGATTACTGATGTCTTGGCAGATTTTGGGAGCTGGCAGCAGTGCTTGTAAAGGTTAAGTTTTTGATGTTGTTCCTACTGTTACCTTACTGCCAACAGCAAATATATGGAGCTCAAGGCTGGCTGATGGGTGGAATTACTGATTAAAAGTTTTGTTCTTTATGCCAGGTTATTTGAGACCTATTTGCCTCAAGTATTTCTCTTGTTTACTAGCCATCATCTCGATACATTCCTTGGGTTATCTCAGGATGCCTTTCCAGCAGGAGGAATTTAATTTATCCTTTGCAGCCTTCCAAAAAAACAATGTGATGTAACGCATGTGTTGGATAAGGTATGCATGTTTGTTTGCTTTAATTTTGAACTACTTTACAGTACAGGTCTCTACCTAATATTGGCAATAACTTGAAAGCTGGTTGTACAGCGCAATTCTGTGGGGGATTTTGTGCTGCCTTTACTCTGTAAATGAGCAAAATTTCTTTCAGTCACCTTCTCCGTCTAGACCTATGTGAAATGCAATCAAATGACTCATATGCTGTGAGAAAAGAAACATACAACAGTGAGTTGCAATACAAAGCACTCTGCACTTTATGTTTTAACTGGGTCACAGGGAGTGTATCACAAGCCAAAATTACAACTGATCTACAAAAACATGGAGAAGCCCAAGCTCATCCCTTCACTAGGACAGTAGCTCTGAAGAGTAAGAATTTCTTAAATATCAATACTAATTATTTCCCTAATGATTGTTTTAATGCTATTGACTTTGCTTGCATTAGACATTGGGGTGAAGTGTGGGGAAGTGGACTTATTTGCATTGTACTTCTTTTATTTCAAGCAAGCTCCTTCAGAGAACACATATAGAGATACAGAATAGTGTCACCTGCATAAAGGTGCTAAATACTCAGCAGAATTTCAGCTTTTATTATTTCAGGAAGCTTGCAGCACTCACATCTCCAGCAGAGATACCAGAATTGGAAGGAGACTAGAACAAAGGTTCTGAAGGCTCACTTATAGGGATGTGTTTTCTGGCTGAGTGTAGGCTGGATGATGCATGTAAACCATTATATTCTGCATATCACAGTTGGAATGGTTCCTTGGGATTTGTGCTATCCTTTATAATATGCTAAAATAGAAGCAAGCAACCCACGCTTGGGAAGATTTTAATAATTTGTTATTATACACTTATGTTAAGAAACATCTTCAAAAAACCAGGATGCTATGTCTTATTTGTTTTGGCAGCTCTAGAGATTGGTAGGCTGCTGTCCTGTTTGACTGGAAGCTACATGGTTACATGTAGCTTTCCCTTTGGGGAAAGCTGTTTTCTATTTTGCATTTATTAGTATTTGAACAGGGTCAAGAAAGGGGATTAGAACCATTTAGACTGAAAGTTTGTCACCTATTCATGGAAGCATCTTTATTTTCTTTGCTAGTGTAGCAGAAGAAATTGAAGATTTACAGTTCAGAGAGATTGCTTTTATGGTTAGAGGGCAAATGTGTGTCTTAATCCCTATTCTCCTGTCAGACTTATTTTGTTTCACTATGCAGAATACACCAGGAAGGCTGCATTTCCATTTCCAGATGGGTTTCAGAAAGATTATTTTTTATTACAGAAATACAGTTGGATTGACTGTCTGAATCTTGTCTCGTATTTTTGGAATTTGAATGCCCTGTGAACTTCCTTAACATGACCAAAGAGACTATAAAGCTTAATATAACAAAGCCAATATATTAGTTAAAACTAAACCAGAAAATTGTGTTGGCACTTATAGGATGGAATAAAAGAAGAACACAGAAACACAGATTTGAATAAAAAAAATCTGCAAGAAGGAGAAATAATAACAGCCTTAAGCCATATTCTTTACAATCACAAAAGTTGTATTAGTTATTAAGATTTGGTATGGTCATAGGAACTCTTTGATTTCCCACAAAAATTATTTCAGTAATATGCTGTAAAATGCAAAGCATCAGGTAAATTTTTAGAATCAAATGTTTCTTAAAATGGGCTGCTCAAGGCAAAATGCCAAGATTCTATTAGATAGAAATTTTTCTAAGAGCGTTTCACTACTGTAATCTCTTCAATTAAACCACTGTATAGACTTTGGTTTTAACATACACTTTACCTGAACCTATATGGTTCTTGGCTGCAAACCTCTTAGGGCAGGTCTTGGAATAAATGCATATTGTTTTATAATTAATTCCCACTGCTGAACCACTATGTATCTTGCAGAATAGATGGAAGAAGAAAATATTTTCCACACTAGTGTGTACTTGCTCACTCTAAAGTCTTCATTTGTACCATCTTTTGCATAACTTGTTGTCTGCTGGAAACAACCTTCCTCCTTCCCAAAATTTAAGAAAGACAGCTTTAAAAAAAAAAAAAGAAATAATAAAGTCTCAGAATAGATTTACCTGCATAAGATCCACAGCATCTTTTGCATCCCTTTCAAAGAAATCTGGAGGAAAGTCTCGAGATGGAGGAATGGACTTTCCATATCCCCGAGGATCCCAAGCAACAATTGTGAAAAGTTGCTTATTCATAAACTTAAGCTGAGGTCCAAAATCAGTTTGACCACTCCCTGAAACAGAATTTTTCAGTTTTATTAACCACCGTAATACATACATAGTATATATACTCTAAATGAAAACCTGCAGAAACTTGTAACTTTATTCTAAAAAAGATATTATCCAACAATTGAAGTATTCTTTATCTCTAAGTGTAACTATCTATTGTAACTCTCAGACAGGAAGTACCCCAATTAAAATCTTTAGAACCATCTGCAGTATGTCCAGAGCAAACCATTTCTGGTAGGTATGTAAGCTTATCACACACTGTGCTCTACACAGATGATTTAATAAAGAATCTCAGAGTTACCTGACTAGGGATTTATCTTTAACAGATTGAAAGCACTAACATGGTCATTGCTGTTTACCTGGGAAGCACAGGTGAAACTGAAAGGGGAGGAAGATGCTGACTCTAGCTACAAATTTGTAGTTGAAAAGTACTGTGTCAGACACTTGTCGCTATTTGATAAAGCACTTCTATGAGGATATTGGTACTTAAAGCTGACCTTTAAATACTTTGTTGCCTGAGGAGATAGTGGTGACACAGAAGCATAAAACTGTAACTTATGATTTGCCTAATATGTATAGTTCCAATACAAGCCAAATACAGACATTTTTTTTCCAATGCAGAACCGTTTTTTTTTTTTTAATGATTCAGACCTTCAAAGGATTTAAAGATGAAGTACTCCCGTCTATTGTATTAAGCTATCTGTGAACATTAGCATGAAAGTAAGACTGCAATTTATGTCTTATTTGCATAATGGTCATGTGATAACAGTACCAAATGCTATTTCATTAAAACTTGTTCAGATTTAATATGCTCAAATGATGGAAATCAAATATAAAATTGGCTATGCATTGTTATATTAGAGTCAGAAGCAAAATATCAGGTTGTTTGAAAAACGCCAACAACAAACTGACTCTTACAGAGGCTTTGTATCACCTCTACACTATCATGCACATGCTTGTTATACTATATTTTCATCACTTAAAAATTACACAAGACTGAGAGCATATCTGAGTGCTGTGTTTTCATGCTTTTCTTAGTATTTTTCTACCTAGATAGAGATAATTCTATTTTGATTTAATGTAGTTTACAAATAGCCTAGAGACTAATTAATTCTGTTCACCTGAAAATACTTATCTTGTTGCCACATCAAACTTGTTAGTCTAACAATGAAATAATATTGAAAACTTAGTGTCCGTAAAAGGGAAGAAGGATATGACAGTCAGAATGTGATATTCATTCCCATATGTTGTCCCAAAATACTAAACCATAAACTTAACCATTGTAAAGATTCTATTTTTACTAATATTAACTGCACAATGGCAATGTACACCTAATAGTAATAATATTACTCACAACTGAAGAAATATAGTATGTCTATTTAAAGAGTTAGCATTGGTAACAGTATTACTAGTTTAACAAGCTGTTTAAAACGAATAGGTTAAAACATATGACATTTTGAAGCATGCCTAGCATTAACTTTTTTCCACTGTCCCCTTGAGAATTCTTTGAAAGAAAGAACCAATTCATGGAGACTTGAAAACATTGCTGCCAAGAACAAATGTTTCCTGCTCTTCAGTTCTTGACATTCTATCATCCTGATCCAGCAATTCAGTTAAGTATTAGCCCAACTCTGAGCACAATAACAGTCCTACTGACAGCCTGCTATGAACTGTTAGTAAGTGATTGGTCCTTTAGAACTGCAAGAACCCAGAAAAAATAGGCTGTGTTAATTTTAAAAGGCTGTTATCAAAAACAGATGGACAGATAGCATTCATCTAGCAGAACCTGTTGTTCACCTCAAAAAGCCACTGAGAATCTTAATGATGTTGCCCTGAAAAATCAAAACATGAAAATACTCCTTTCAGCAATAAGCAAGTTTTAACTGTGACTTTTTCATTATAAACTGCAAATGCTGCATCATGTCTATTAATTCAATTGGAATGCATCTAGCTTCTAAAAAGGAATGCATAATTCAGTCTGTGTAACAAATATAACTGACCTGATTTTCACCACCCTTCTGCTATTTTCCACCTTGTGTAGCTATTTGCCACCTGTCCCAGACACTGCCCTTGCACAGTTAAATCCAGAAGGTGAGTGACCATTACACAAGGCAAGACCTTCTATAAAAGGCACCTAGTGTGATAAATGAAATCTTTTTTTAAAAACTGTTAACTGATGGCAATAACTCTGCATTTTCCTATCTGTTGTATGTGTAGCAATTTTTTTTTAAATGATGATGCACCATAATCAGGAGTTATATATACTACAAAACAGTTTTGTGCATTCTAGCTTGAGAGGTGGTTGCTCTACAAAGATAAGATAAAATCTCCAGACCTAGCATTCCGGGAAGCAGAAGAACTGCATGACTTCCTTCTCCCGTCTGCTGATAATGCAGGTGGACTCCATTCACTTGGATTTTGGAAGATGTTATTGAAGTACTAGGGGTGGGGAAAGGGGAGAGAAATAGAAGAACACTCAGACAGTTGATTTTATTACTACATGGTCACTTCAGAAATACAGAATAATTTTCCTAGATATTAATGACAACACTTGCCTTTCATGGGTGCACGGGAGGTTAAATAAAAAGCTTTTCAGGAACAGAGAAGTATTCAGTTGTGACCACTATGTAGCATTCATACTCAGGTTTCACAAATGTAGTTAAATGACTAAGTTAAAGGGTAGGGAAAAAAGGAGTCTTGATGGTGCAACAAGGAGAATAAAAAAGCAGCTTTACGTGGCTACAGGAACATATTGAAATAAATACATTACAGAGGAGAAACCTCTTTCTGTCACAGCAAATCTTTCGAAATGGCTGGTGTTCACCTTGTTATTTACTAAACTGAGCCTCTCCGTCTGCCAAAGAAACCACAATCTATTGTTACGGTTTCCCATGAACCACAGGGTCTACAATGGAAACCACTTTGCACTGAGATGAGAGCAGAGAAAAAGAATGTGATAATAATATTTCTGTCAGTGTAATCTCAGCAGGAGATAACGTTTAACTGGAAAATACCACATAAATCCACACACTAAAAAATTATCACAGAAAATGACTGCATAGGCCACCTCTCAGCCCCAACCTTTAAACCCCTACATTAACCTTCAGTACAGAGGAAGACATATGTGTAAATGCAAATAGGTGACCTGAGATACCATATCTAGATACAAACACCTAGTGAGAAAGCAGAAGTAGCATAGATTGAAAGTATCTTCATAACAGTATAAATCATTGCATCTGTTCTCCCAAGCAAACTTGTGCCCTAATGGTTGCAAGAAATCTTTTCAACAACGTAACACATTTTATTTAAAAGTAGTAATATGATGGAATGATTAGCCCTCATTCCCTGCACTTCTCAATTTACTTAGATTAAATATTCTTGCCTTATGAATTCATCAGTGTTAATTTCACATGCATACAGACATGCTGTTTTCCATTCTTAGATGTAACAATAATCTCTATTCCATGATAGGCACTGTGCAACTTATTAAAAATTCAATTTTAACATATAAAGTCTGAACTACTTAGAGTATGTAAGCATAGTTTCATCCATATAGGGTTTAAAATGGTGGATTACAGGTAAAAAATCCCACTAATTTAACCCCATTTCATAAGGAAAACTAACAATAGCTTGCCAACTCAGGTTCACAATACACAAGTGGCAGTTAAACCACAGAACCAGTTCAACACAAAGATATTTGGATTTTACATAAAATCTTAGGTCTACATAACCTATCATGCCTCATGCCTGAATATAAGTAGTGACTGCGCAGAATCAAATCAGGACCTTCTACCTGTGCAGATCCAATTTGAGAACTGGAGTACAAATGCAGATCTATGGCAAGAGTACAGCTCAAAGAAATCCATTGTGTCATTATAACTTCAGTGAGTTTTGCTGAACTGTTATGCTAATGTGATCCAAGTGATTAGTTTGACTGTAATGTTAAACTTCCTCTAAGTCTGTATTTCACACCCGATGTGGCTTATATACTTCCCAACTTGAATTCTGAATGTAGTATTCAGATGGCTGCCTTATCTCCTTTTTTAATAACTTTCACTTTTTTCTCCTTATAAAAGAATGTTTTAATTCTTGATACACCATCTTTTGGTTTGTCATTATTTTCAACAGGTATTTTATCATAATTCTCACCACAGCAAATGAGCATCTTGCTCTTATTACATTTTATAGAAAGATGTGATTTTTTTTTCTGATTAATAGTTGCCAAACCTCTTTCAGTTCCTAACGAAACAGTAATAATCACTATCTTATTACCTTTTAAAAAAGAGGTTAGCAACATGTAGTATCAATAGACAGTTATATGTTCTGCTTTCCTGATTCACATGCTTACTTTTTTTTTTTACAAAGTTCTACATTTTTTAGGATTAATTATTAACATCAGGGGCTTGAGAATTTTGCTGAGTTTGTGATGCTTTTCTATTCTTGGATTGTGCCTCAGTGTGAAGTCCAATGAAATCCAGGAGTTTCACATAGAGAGTATTTTCAATACTTTTCAGACTAAGAACAGATAAGTTGGTTTTTTTAATGCATTGAGAAACTGTGTTGGAACTGGCTACTCCTAAGGCAGATTTGATCCCCTCAACACCAAGTTTCTGTGAGCCTGATATCACTTCAGTGTGCTTCAGTGTGGTGACTTCACTTCTGTTAAGTTTTCATAAGGACTGTATTTTTCCATTGGTTGGCATAACTGGAAACTGTGGTAAAACAAAACAAAACCCACCCCGCTATTTGGTATCTGAATTAGTAATGTTAAGGTTTATAGCTCTTGAGAAGCATTGGATACATACTGCCTGTGTTTACCAAGAGAGCACAGATGCCGAGTAGGTAGATCTTGTACTTCACCTCATACTGCTGTAGGAGTGCAGCTTAATTTGGGAACTACCTCTGTTGCAGCTGTGCTACAATATAACCTAGTCTTTATCTGTGCAGGGGGAAAACATTATCGTAGTATGTCAATTTTCCTTGGTAGGATTTGCAGAAAAAACAGTATTTTATATCATCATGGCTAGGCTTCGCAAATGAAGATTTGGGAAGGGCACTACCCACGTTTGTTGCAAGCGCATTGGTGGCTAAAAAGGCCAATATGAGATAGACACGTCCGGTTGCAAAAGGCACAGCAGAAAGACTCCTTAGGAGGTATAGTCTGCAAGGCACGATTCTTTCTGTGTTGTCTTTTCTCCTCGAGAGTGATCCTGCGTGCTTTCTCAAAAGCATCAGCAGCGTTATAGATGGTGTGTCTCCAGGCCTCCCGATTGGAGGCCAGAGTAGACCAGTTATGTAGATCAATATGGCCAAGGCTGAGATGTTGTTTCAGGGAGTCCTTGTATCTTTTCTTCGGGGCTCCTCTCTTGTGGCAGCCGGTGGCAAGTTCACCATAAAGCAGGATCTTAGGGAGGCGGTGGTCCTTCATCCTGGAGACGTGCCCTGCCCAACACAGCTGTGTTCTCAGTAACATGGCCTTGATACTTGTGACTGCTGCTTGTTCAAGAACAGATGTATTAGTCACATAATCTGACCAGTGGATGTTTAGGATTGTACGGAGGCAGCCTTGATGGAAGCGTTCTAGGAGACGCAGGTGGTGGCGGTAGATGACCCATGATTCAGATCCGTATAAGAGAGTAGACAGCACTATGGCTCTGTAAACACTGATCTTTGTACTTTTCTTCAGGTGTTTATTTTGCCAAACTCTTTTATGAAGCTTTCCGAAAGCACTATATGCCTTTGCCAACCTGTTGTCTATCTCCCTGTCGATCTTACCATCCGAGGAGATGAGGCTGCCTAGGTAATTAATCTGCTGAACTGATTTGAGCTCTGATTGGCCAATGGTGATGTGGGGATGATGGGGGACTTCCTGAGGTGCAGGTTGATGAAGAACTTCTGTCTTCTTTAAGCTGACTTCCAGCCCAAAGAGCTCAGCAGCGTCTGCAAAGCAGGATGTTAAAACGCTGCAGGGCTGCTTCTGTGTGGGCAACAAGGGCGGCGTCATCAGTATAAAGCAGCTCCCGGACAAGATGGTTTAAGGTCTTGGTGTGGGCCTTCAGTCACCTTAGGTTGAATAGGCTTCCATCAGTACAATATCGAATGTAGATACTGTCCTGATCACCGAGGTCTGCCGTGGCCCTTTGGAGCATCATGCTGAAAAAGACTGTGAATAGGGTAGGAGCGAGAACGCAGCCTTGTTTCACGCCATTCTTTATCAGAAAGGACTCAGAAAGTGTGTTGCCACATCTGACTTGGCCGTGCTGATCCTCGTGGAGTGAGATGATCATTTTAAGGAACTTGGGGGGACAACCTAAACGTTCCAAAATCTGCCACAGACCTTTTCTGCTCACAGTATCGAAGGCCTTGGTGAGGTTGACAAAGGTTACATAAAGACCTTTGTTCTGTTCCCTACACTTCTCTTGCAGTTGTCTGAGAACAAATACCATGTCTGTGGTACTCCTGTTGGCACTGAAACCACACTGACTTTCAGGTAGAATTTCTTCTACTATAGCGGGTATTAGTGTGCATATTAGACATATGTATTGTCTTTGCAACCTCGGCGCCCTGCAGGGAGCCTCGTCAGCAGCAGGTGGGCAGAGGAGCGGTGGGTCAGCAGCACGTCCTGCCTTGCGGGGGCCGGCAGAAGGGAGGTAGACAGGTGCTGCCTGACGAGAGGGGGCTGCGGAGTCTTCCTTGTACAGCTCCTTGCATTACAGGGAAAGTAGGAGCAGGATCCTCAGGATACCACTTTGTCACCCCCAACCCGACCTAGTGTACACCCCCTCTGCCAACACACCTCGTTTATCCCGCACCGCCGCCTCCCCCCGCTCCCCCCGCCCCTGTCTGTCAAATATCCCCTTCCCCGAGCCGCGGGAAGGGAGGAGGGAGCTGGGGAAGTGGGGAAGGAGGCGGCTGTGGTTTTTACCCGTAGCAGGCGGCCGGTCCCCGGGGCATGAGCGGCGCTGCCCGGGCCCGCAGCTGCAGCTGCAGCAGCACCCAGAGGGCCCGGCCCGCGCTCCGCGAACACATTTCGCCCAGCGAGGCCGGCCTGGAGGGCAGGGGAGGAGACGGGAAGGGCCGTCCTGCCTGTCCTCCCCTCCCCTCTCCTCCCCAGGGCGGGATGCGGTGCCACCCCCACCTGTCACCTACGCGATGTGCAGCGATAGGCGGTGGCCGCTGCCTGCGCTCTGATTGGCGACTGTCGCTGTCACTCAGGGGAAGGAGGGGAGGGTTTGGCGCCTGGGCTGCGGCGCCCGCCCCCCCGCGGCGCTGATTGGTCGCCCGGGGGTGGGAGCTGCGGGAAGGATGGCGTTGGTCCCTCCGCCTGGGGCATTTTCCTCATGCGCAGAGTGATCCCTGATCCCGCCCTCGAACACCAGAAGGGATAGTGCTGCCGCCCAGCGCCGCTCCGGTTGCCGGGCTGCTGGGCTGTGACGGGGAGCGGGGCGCTGTGAGCGCCTCCATCCTCTCCAAGAGGCGGAGACCCACGAGACACGGCACCACCTGCAAATGTCTGCAGGGAGCAAAGATTCTAGCCCTGGGAGATATATTGTGGGACCTGAAGCCGTGGACTGCGCCTCCAGCACTGCCCGGGAAGCAAGAAGCTCCATGGACTGTGAGAACGGTGGTCATCTGTGGCTCCAAGTCTGTCTGGAGAACAGCTTCCCCGGCAGCTGGGACAGTGAGGACAGCTCTGGGGACTGCAGCTCACCTGTGGTGATGCCTTCAGCATCCCAGAGCCCAGGGATTTCCTCAGCAGGAATCATTAACTCTGCTTCACCAGTGTTATTTGTAAGGCCTGCTTGTGGGGAGCATACTTGTCTCCTGGCCAAGGGCTTCGGCCTGGCAAGTGCCTGTACTGATCAGGGCCAGCCACCTCTGGAGCAGCCTGACTGCGTTTTTTCACCACAGCACTTAGTCTTGCTTTCCTCTGGACCTTCTCACAGTTTGCTCATAGAACACCAAGGACACCAACTGCTTTCCCTGGTGTCTGCTTTCCAAGTGTGGAGGAGAACGGACCAGCCTGAGTTACAGCCAGCCAGGCTGATGGTGGAGAAGGTAGTCAGGAAAATAGCAAAAAGCTGTAGAGCTGAAAGAGACCTTGGGCTAGCCTTATACTGGATGAGAAGAATTTCCTCAAGACAGGTCAGTGTTACATGTTCACTGCAGCCCAGTGGAAGCTCAGTGACTGCCCTGAGAGGGAATAGTTGTCAGCCTTCCCACCCAATTGACATAGGTGTGCATGGGAGTAACAAGTCTTAGAGGTGAATGACAGTCATAACAAATCCCAGTGCATAAAGAGATTAACTCAACTGTGTAAGCATACTGGTTCCGTTTATCCCCTGAGCAGATCAAACTATATAAGATTAAGGTCTTTAGGATGACTAAAGCAATCCTAAAGCAATCCTTGATCAGGACAAGCTGCCTTTGCTCGGTGAAATCTACAAGTCCCTAGAGTTTCCTTGGTTCTTAGGCCACTTTCAGAGGCTCATCTTTGTTGTGAGTGTCACTGTCTACATTTCTTTCTGGTGAAAAATGACTGGAGGAGAGGGCTGACTATTCTGTGTTTAGGAAAAAATTAGTAGCTTGGTCTACTGCTGCACAAACTTAATTTTTTTTCTGAATTCTGCATTTTCCACAAATCACAAGGGGCTCCTATCTCATGTATCACTATGAGCTTTCAGAGGGAAAGGTCTCAAACTTGTATCCAATTTCATTCCTGTTAAAATACCTTTCAATCTAATCTTTCTACATATACCCTACCTACTATGGCTGAAGGAAGTGTGACAAATTTTCAGAATGTGTGCTGAGGCATTGGGTAAAAAGGGTTCATTATACAATGCAGGGGTGGGGGAAGAAGTAATTGGTAAGGTAAAACCAGAAGACCTTCCCAGATGAGAGAAAAGGGATTTGAGGAGATTCATGTACCACTTAAGGTTGGAGCGGTTTCAGATGGGTTAATGCCACTATCAGTGTGACAGAAGTTGAGAGGTCCCTTTATAGAAAAAGCTGTCATGGTGTTGCACCGTGTGTTGTCTCCAGGCCTGCAATTGCAGCTCTGAAGCACATGAGGCCTGTAAAGTGGCCATTCCTCTCCCAAATGCCTGGACCATGCAACCCCTCCCAAAGGCACTGTCCTGCCACCTTTGGGCTGGGGAGAGAAAACTGGCATGGTAGTTGGGCAGGAATGGCATTGGCAAAAGACCCTGTTCTGTGTGTGTGTATAATAACTGGCATCATGAGGAGTGGCTCAAGGAGAGAGTGGCTGTCTGGGCCCACAGGGCAATGGAAGCAGGACTCTGCCAAGGCTGGATGCAGGTGGTGGATGATCTGGGGACAGAGTGCTAACTCACATATTCAAACTGTGTTCAACCTACTCAGTTCACCAGAACATCCAGTCTTGTTACTAAAGCAGATTTGCACATAATGATGAGCACCTGAGAGAATTCAGTATTTCAGCTCAATTATTTCCTCCAAAAGGTCTTCTCTTAAATTACTGGATGAGTGGAGAGAAAAAACTTTGAGCAAGCCAGACATTGGCTTACTTTTACACAGCCTATGAAATAGTTGAGAACAACTGGAGCACTAGTTCTCCTGTCCACTCCCATAACACGTTTTTATTTGTCTGATTACTACTGATGGTTCAGGTTCTGGAAAGTACCTGTATCTGGCCATTGCATGGAAAAGAAAAGAAAAAAATATTTAAAAGAGGTAGCACTGCTCTGCTAGTGATGTGTCCCTGAACACAGATTTCCCTTTGCCTCTTAACTGCCATGTAATTTTTTTGGCAACCTTGGTGTTGCCCCATCTCTCCCCTGTGGTCATCTCTACAGGCAGAAACTTGCATTTAATGGCAACTTCTGACTGCTGCTGCTGGCAGGATTTCTCTCTAATATCCACACCATGCTCTGGAGGGCGTCACTGCTGTGCTTTCAAAGAAAGCCTGACTCATTTGTCAGGGCCACCGAGGCACTAACAGGCTTTAATGGCCATGACCAGCCTCAGCTGGGGTGTCCCCCACACCCTGGCTCATGGGCCCAGGAGTCTCATTTCAGCTCAGCACAATGGCATCAGTCTGTGCTTCAACTTTGTTACAGCTACGTCTGTGACTGGTTGGGATCCCCAATGATCCAGGTGTTGTAGACTTTGTTTCTTTGAGTCTGTGTATATGCTGACTGATCATTTTTACCTCATTTATTTCAGCTACTTCTATGAAGTGAAATATGCTGCTATTTCAAGCCTGTTTTGATGCTTGGGCTCTTGAGCCTCTTGGATGTTGATTGTTAGAGCAATGTTTTCACCTTAGGACAAAACCTTGTTGCTTCAGCTCCATAAGGAGGTAAGATTTGAGTAGTGATGAATTGCAAAATTCAGAACAAAGATATCAAAATGCCGATGTTTCTGTAATTTGGTATTGGCCTTCCAAACAAGAAAGACTTCCAAACAAGAATGTGGCATGACTTTTGAAGCTGCGAAGTGTGGAGAGTAGCAGCCTGTGTTTTTGTAGCAGGAGGCCTATTTAGCTACAATATTAGCCAAATTGTGACCAACTGGACTTATATCACAAAGAAAAGGCTGCTTTTTCATAAGCATAACAGCTAGTAGAAAAAGATCCCAGATATCTTGCCTCAAAGAACGTTTCAGGCTGATGAAGAAACAAAACCACAGACACATATTTAATGATTTTCTTTATGTTTGCCTGCATTTTTCTTTAGGTAGTAAAGGATAGTTTTCTGTCAGCTCAAACAGTGTCTGCATACCTTTCATATGTTTGTGAATAACTGCATTATAAATCACAAGTGCAAGCATGTCACTGTGAGATGATCTTGTCATTTCAAAGTTGAATATGGTCTACATTTTGTAAATCCAGGCAGAGTCTTGGCATAATTTCTGTTCAGATTCAGGGCATTCTAGATTCACAGATATGAAATTACTCCAAATATTCTGGTACAAAAAAAGAAACAGTTTTTCCCTTGGACAGGGCAAGAGTAACATTTGGAAGATGGTTCTTGGTTTGTTTATGGAAGGAGTTGTACGAACTCGGTGACCCAGACATCCTTTCCAGTGCTGCATTTAGTTGTCTCAACTAATGGGGGGGGAACACAGGAGTTGAAACCTATCATTCAAAATCCAAGCAGTATTACTGGTTTGTTAAGGTGATTAGTGTGGATTTTGGTTTCAAAAAGCTCTCATCAAGCATCTCTCTGAGCTCTGTAAGCTTTAATGCTTATTATCTGATCATATCTTAGTTCTGGTACAGACACTAACTTCTGCCAAAGGGATGAGGAAACTGTGCTAAAGAGAAAGGAAGTGACCTACTTAGAGTTGTAGCGGAGGGGGAAACCCAACTTTAATCAGAACTCAGGTCTCCTTTGTTTTGCTCCTAGGCAATACTTCCTCCAGCACAAAGATAGACTCTGCACCCTAGACCCTGTACTGATCCTAACTTCCTCCTTCTCTTCTCCCCAGGGGCTGTATTAAGGAGCTCCACTTTCACTAGGTGCTGTTTTGTGCTGGGGAACAAATGAGCACCAGTCAGCTGACTCCTGATGCTCATTGGTATGCCAGGAGGGAAACTGGCATGCTGCAAGGAGCACTTTCTTTAGTTTGTAGAGTCTAGGATGAGGAAGGGATAGAAAAAAGTGCCATGAGGGCACTAGCATCCAGTGAAGAAAGCCTTCCAAGTGCTAGCTAGCTCTAATATGTCCCTGCTTGTACTGGATGATCCTTCCTATTTTGTTTCCCTCTAGCTCCTTCTCACTTTGTACATAGCAGAGCATGTTTTAGAAGCTCAGAGATTCTTACTTTATTTTCCATGTGCCTTCATGCTGAAAGATGGTTTTTGTTTGTTATTGAACAGTGATGAAAAATCAGGGAGAAGTGACATAGTTTACTAAAAGCTCAATCAGTCAGAGACCAAGTTCTTGTGTATTGCCTCTCCTTGGAAACTGGCCTCTGAGGAAGAGGAGCTGTATGTTGCCAGCTCAGTTTGATGTTCACGTACCAAATACTTGCAACACTGTCCTCTCTGAGTTTTTAACTCAGCATTATTAATTGGTATTATTTAGCAACTATTTTGGAAGGAGTAAAAATTCCTCAAACTTCTTAGCTGCCTGTACACTGTTAATAAGGGCACAGTAACAAAATCAACCAAATAAATTGCTCCGAATTGCATGGACTCAATCCTCTCTGCATTTAAGAATTTCAGCACAGATTGGCTGCTGTGTAATGGTAACTCTTATTACCAGCTGGAGGTTGTATTTGAGTGGTATTTGATCTGAAGTCTGAAAGCACTTGTTCTCTTAAAATGGAAAAACATAATGTCCTTGTGCATAAGTGGATGAGTTCACCTCTTGTTCTTCAAGGGGAGACCCTGAAGAGGAGGTCTGATGCTGCAACTCGCAGCCTTTTTCTCCCTGTCTTGCACCTCACCCATCTTATGAAGAATCTCTGTAAGGCTGCTGCATTACTGCTGCCTCTGCCCTTGAGGCTGATAGCTTGCCTGTTTGATGTGAAATTACTCTTCTGTCCTTGCTCTCCTTTCTTTTGCCACGAAGGGTATTGGATCTGTGCCATAATACATCTCTCTCTTTCTTCCTCACCCCCATTATTTTCCTGCATTTTTGATCTCTCATGATAGGTTGCTTTTCAAAAATCAACTCCATCCTTGATATTTTTTTTTCTTTGATCAGAGGGTGTGGAGCATGGGTGGTAGATGAAATGAGCAACTCAGTAAGTTAATATTAGCTGATCTCTCTCTGCTATACTTAATATTTCTGTACATTTTTAGGTCAGGGGAGAGCACTAACTCTTTTCTTTGGACTTCTTGTACACTGTTTACTTTCACATTTCACCTAGTTAATGTTGTATTGAGACTTATAGCTTTGATTTCAACTATATCCATCTTAAGAAACAAGAGCAGTCTTAATTAAAAGATACCAAGAGGATCCACAGAATCCCTTGGTAGTTTATTCCAGTAGTTAATCATCTTTATTATTAAATACATATTCTAATTTGGCATGCCTGGCTGCAGCTTCCGGGCATTGGGTCCTCTTTTATTTCTGGTTTTCCACATTATGCTAAAGGGTTTGCCATACTTTAGATTTTCTGCCCAGGAAGCTGAATCTTCTCTGTGATTGAGTTCCGTAAGGGCTGTACTGAAGGAGCTTGTCTCTAGCTCTCAGTTTACTAGTTGTTTTCTATACCATCTACAATGTCACCTGAACTATGAGCACTAGTCTAGAATTGGATTTGACAAAACATCAAAGCTAAAATGACCTTCATCTCCTACTTTTAAGATCTAGGACTGCCCTATGCCTAAGTCTTGTTCTGAAACGCTTCTTGTTTTTCTTCTACATCTTTGTTGTTGTTTCAGAAAATAAGGTCTGGGCTTGCTTTAATAAAGAGAAAATGAAGCACTTAATGTATGCCCATTAAATGATTACCATTCTGTATAACAAATAAGACAAGGATCTTACGATGGAAAAATTGCATGTTGTATAATAAAGACTACAGATATGGGAGACTTTAAAAACCAATGGGGGCTAGGGAATTGATGTAACAATACAGTGCAACCAATGTTAACAGGACATAAATGGACTTTGTGATCTTTCGGGAATCTGTTTCATGAAGTAACATAGTAGCTGCTAGCTGTAACTCTGTGGACTGACATAGAGAAGATACCCCCTAGTCCATTTCTCTATCTACTTTAAGAAGAGTAATTGTTTTTCTTCTGGAAATTGTATGCTTATTATATTAGACAAGTAAAACATTTCATTCTCTATTATACTCAAGAATTTATATAAAATTTAGCATGTTGCTAAGTAAAAACAGTAAGGCAATGCAATTAATTCTGAGGAATTAAAAATATAGGTATTGCTATAGTACATACTGATACATCCCAAGCTACCCTCCATGGAAAGGAGAGTTTAATGTGCATTAACAATAAATATAGAAATGCTCTAGTATCTCAATGGATGACATGCTCTTTGTATAGATTTCTGCTAAAGTGTCCATTTTGGGGGGGCCATTTACACTATTGCCTTATAGATTTAAAGATGACAAATATGTTGATGCTTGCTTTGATTAGTTTCATTTTGATTCCACTAAAATGGTGGCTGCTGTATCAAGGAGCAGAAATCCATTCTAACTACACTTTCAGTAAATTATTAGCCTTTTTTGACAATAACAATGAACATTTATGAACACTAATGAAACTTAGTGCTTTAATCTACAGCAAAAACAATTACCTGCTCTGAAACATCTGTTGGAAATATCCGTAGATTTGATGGAAATAGGAGGTATCATTCTTCCTCGGAAAGGTTTCACATAATTATTCTTCAGGCATAAAAACTTACAGCTCAGTAATTCTTTCACAGATCTTGCACAATGAGATCATGTCAATACCGGGAAGTCAGAGTGACAAGGAAAATCTCCAGGCACTGGGATACCATCACTTACACTGCAGAGCTTTTCCAGTGTTCCCCAAAAGAACCTGAGCGCTGTGAAAAAGCCTTTGCACAAAATTTTGGAGGTTTAAAGAATTTGCTATCCTGGCAGCAGGCTGCAGCATCAGCATGCCAGCTTACCCTCAGCACCCAGAAACATTCCCAGGCACATTTAATCCGCTAATATAAATGCAGTCCAAGAGATTCAAAAACTAGTGACATTCTACTCACTATGAGCCCCAAGAGTGAGTAGGAGAATGGGTCTTCTGTCAAGAGGTAATAGGGCACCTTTCCCTTCCCAAAGCTGTTGTATTCCAGAGTTCTTACTTTGGATTGAATACAGATTGAATTTATTTTTTCACTGTTTCATAAAGCAGATAAGAAACTTGACATGTAAAATCTTTTCTACCAAACAATGTAAAAAACTAATGCAATATTAATCTGTAAAATATCAAGTATAGCCTTTTTAAGCCAGAAATAGTTTTTGCTTTTATTAATGCTGCTGTTCTGCATAATTCTAGACAGATGTATTTAATGAAAGTTATAAAAATATTTGAAAAATAATGTTATTGACTTAAAGCAATTGGCACTTCTGGCAAAATTTAACAGTTGATTTAATTTTCTGTACAAGTTTTTCAAAAAGTAGGTCAGTCTTTCGCATATTATTACTCACATATTGCTTTGTTGAAATGACATCCTTTTGTTCCGAACTGAACAAGGGTCCCAAAATGTTTCAAGACAGAATGTAGAATCCAGAAATTTTGTGTAACACATTCTCCTTGAATCAATATTTGTATTGCATTGTTGTTGTTATCTCTGGACAATCATTCTATACAGAAGGAAGATGCTTAATTTATTTTATCCTTTGGAAGGCCAAATATCGTGACATAAA